GGGCCGCGGGCCCGGCCGGCGCGGGCTCGGGACCCTCCCCGCCAGCATCCCCGGGTCGGAGGTCCCGGCCCGCCCCTGCATGGCGCGGAGAGGCAGCCCCAACTTGCAGCCCCACTTCGCACGCCCGCCCTCCTCTCCTCCACCATATGGAAATCTACAGCCTCAGAAAGTGACACGTCGAAGATTCCTCGGCCCCTCCGCCCGCCCTCCCCCTCCCGGGCAGCGTTCCTGCCGCGGAGATTCCAGGAGGGGGGGCGGATTCCTCGGACAAAATCTGCTGGGAAGGCTAGGGAGGGCGGGGGGGTAGGGAGAGCCCGGAGCCACTGCCCAGATTTTTTTTTCATCAAGAATCTACTCGTTTCTCTCCCTCCTCCAAGCCCTGGCAAGCTGGGGGGACGGGCGGGGGGACGGGCGGGGGGACCGGAGCCCAGTAGGACGCGGCCCCGAAGCGGAGGCCGACCCCCTCCCGTGTTCCCGGGGTGTCCAGGCGAGCGCGGGGCGCCCCAGCACTCTGGCGCCAAGTTTTCCCCGGGAAGCCGGGAGCGCTCGGGACAGGACGCACTCTGGCGGACTGGGCGTCCGGCCGGGGGCTTTCCAGCGCCCCGGGACCCGGCGGCGGGGGCGCGGGCTCCGAGTCCCCTCCAGGCTCCTGTTCCTGCACGCCTTACCTTCCCTCTGGCTGAAACGCGGGGCTCCGGGCGCGCCACACACCGGGTCGCCCACGCCTTCCCAGCCGGCAGCCCCGAGGATCCCTGCCGCCCCCTTCGCTGCTCCCGCCGCCGCCGCCGCCGCTCTCCTCCTCCTCCTCCTCCGGCCGCCGCCGCCGCTCAAATAACTACCAGGAGGGTTTGATGGGGGATTCCGCCATGTCAATGATGTCGGGACCACATGGGGATTTGGGGCCCGCCCACTGCCGTAAACCGCCGAGTATAACCGCCGCCACAGTCAGATTCGCAGGAGCTGTGGGAGCCTCCTTTGCCCCCCAGGCCTGCAAAACTAAGCAGAAAGTCTTTTTGGCTCAGCCAGACTAAAGAAGTTTGAGGCTTAGGGGAACTAACAGCTCCTGAAAGGCGAGGGCTGCACGTTCTGCAAAAGATCACAAAACACCAATATAAATGCAGTGTTTGCTGAGTAATAATCGGAGCTAAGACTCTATGATATTTTTTCATTTACACATATATTAACTTTTTTTAAATCCCCACAACAACCTTGTGAGCTATTTTCTCACTCCTTTCTCTATTTCCTACAGCACTTTGTTCATATGGCTAACATAGCGTGAACAGATTTTATTATACCAAAGTTAAAATGTCTGTTTCCTTTTTTCAGTACCCAATATGCGCTCACAAGGGGACAGACTGTTCCTTACTCACATCTGTATTTCTGTATCTGTCAAACATAGTCCAATGCATAGGCCACAATAGGACTCATCAGATAACTGTTGAGTTTGTATTAATTAAATCAAACGTAATGTACCTCTTGTACAAAATGGTTAACCAACTGCATCCTACCCCACCCCTCAAATTATCCAGGAGACAAGAGAGTAGAAGTTATCCCACAGAGGTCACGTCCTTCCTTGGCTTCCCAGGTGTTCTGAATAATTACATTCAGCCTCAACTATTAGGCTACAACTATTAGGCTACACTCACTAGTGACCAGAGGCAATGTACTGCTTTCATTGACCTAAAAAATAACCATTTATCAGATAAAATTATTGTACATAGTACTGTATTAAAACCCAAAGAATATAAAGAAATACTGAGAAATAGCTCCTTTCCTTGTGAAATTCACAATTCTTTTTTGGAAATGTGGGGGATAATGGTAAATCCAGACAAATGGGACCCTCCCTCCTAATGGGCTTCTTTCCACAAATGTCCCGGAAGTGTGTCTTGAAGCCATGCTTCTAAAACATGGTTCCAATCCTAGGTCATAGTCCTGCTTGGGAAGGAAAAAAAAAAGCAGTGGTTCCCCAGTTCCTGCCTCAGCTTCTCCAGCTCCCCCTGAGCCATGCCTTCCACCCCAGCTGGACTCTGATGACTTCCCAGCACACCTCTGTCCCTTTGTACATGCTTCCACTCTGTCTGGAGCATGCTTCTTCCTCGACCCTATCTTAAGATCATTTACTCATCTTTGAGCTCCAGCTACCATCACTCCCTCCCTCCCCACAGTCTCATAGTTCTTTTCCCCACAATCTCACAATTCTTTTCAGTTCTTCTCACATTGCTCTGAAGTTATTGTTTATCTCTTCTGCTTGACTGGGTCTTGTATCCCCAGCATCAGCCTAACATTGTGCTTTGAATATAGTACCCCCTTATAAATGTTTGTTGAATAAATTACCTGTAAAGTATGTGGAGGGATCTGAATGACTAGATAAATGGGCCAACTTCAGGGGCTGGCCTGGTGGCACAAGCGGTTAAGTGCTCGCGATCTGCTGCGGCGGCATGGGGTTCACTGGTTCAGATCCCGGGCTCACACCGACGCACTGCTTGGCAAGCAATGCTGTGGTGGCGTCCCATATAAAAAGTGGAGGAAGATGGGCACGGATGTTAGCCCAGGGCCAGTCTTCCTCAGCAAAAAAAGAGGAGGTTTGGCAGATGTTAGCTCAGGGCTGGTCTTCCTCACAAAAAAAAAAAAAATGGGCCAACTTCAGAGAGTGGAAGGTTAAGTTCAAGTGTTGAAGGACAGGCTTGGCAAAGGAGTTATAAGTAGGCAAGAGAAATTCAGAAGCCGGAATTATTTCTGCCTATTTCTTTCACTAGACTGAATTTGTTCTAATTAAGCAGAAGAACCAATATATACAAAATGCCTTAAAATTTAAAATGTATGTTCATATATATGATCTCAATGTTTCATTTATCTTCTTATCCTAATACCTAACACCAGTTTGGGCACAGAATAGAAACCCAGTAAATGTTTGCAAAATGAGAGGAAGTATGGTGTAGTGGAAAAAGCATGGAAATTATAATCAGACAAAAGCCAGTGACGTTGGACAGGTTATTAAAGTTCTCGGAGCCAGGGTTTTCATATTTATTAAATGGTGATATTGCCTTCTTGTTAAGGTTGTTGTGAGATTAAAAACCTCAGCCACCTGATACTCAAATAAATATTGGTTCCTCCTTGAATGAATGATTGAGTGAGTGATTGAATGAATTGGTGAAGATGTCTTTCCTGGAGGGAATTAATAGGACAAAAAATTGGAAACCTCATGGAAAAAGATGGGACTTTTGAGAGACCTCTCAACTATCCATTAAGGGATTTAAATTTCATACAATGAGAAAACACTGTGGGGTTATAAAGTGATTGAAATAGATTTCAAGGTTGATTATTCTGGCAGCAGGATGTAGAACAAGGCTCATGTCAGCAAGGCATGCTCTGAAAGTACATGGGAGATGATGAAGACTTAGACCAGAGTGATGGTTCTGGAACTGGGAGGAAGGGCCTCAGCCCGAGGCAATGAGTATTATTAGCTGGTGTTGACAACCCAAGTCACTTGCCACCCTAGGTCCCAAATTATGGAACCATAATTAAAACATAGAATTTGTTCCAAAAGCAACTTAGTTTTGCTCAAATACAAAAATTAACATCGAAATGAAGATGCATAGAAGTTAAGGCCTATAACAAAATATGCAGACGTGTAAACCCTTCTATCTTCCAGGCAATGTAGGCTGAGTTGTATTAGGAAAAAAAAAAAGATTCAGAGTCGTACTTCCTGATCTCCAATAATTTACATAATAACAAAAGAAATGCAACTTAAACACATAGGAAAGCATGAGTTTTGAAACTGGCATTGAAAAGGTCTCAAACCATTAAACCTCTGAACATTTTTCTAAGTCTAAAATGTTTAAATTTGAACCTCTTTCTCAAAGATCACTATGGCTGGTAATATGCAACATCTAGAAGACCCAGCAGGGTTCTCAGTCTCAGTCTCCTTCCTCTGCCTATAGCTGGGGTTGCTGGATTCTCAGAGGCAGGCTCTGTCTTGCCTCTAATCTTGAAACCCAATCTTGACCTTAGATAGAAGGCATTAACTCTTTGCATCTACTTCTTGCTCTAATGTCCTGAGCCAGATCTGATACCAGCTTCAATATGAACAGTGATGAAAAGCCAATTAATCCTGTTTTGAAAAGTGTTCAGAATTTACTAGAGTACTAACCAGAGTAAAGAATAGCCCGCTCAGTCAATAATACAATCTAAGAGCAACATTGCAACTTCAGTTAAACACATTTCTCCAGAACAATTCAACCAGTCAAAGTTGTAGTTTCACCTTCTTTAATATTGTTCAAGGCAAGACAAGGGCAAATCGTAGCCCAATTTTTTTTTTTTTTTTAAAGTCATTTCAAACAAGAGTATCTGTCCCACAGTTATCAGAGCTATTCAGGTAGAAGCTGAATGACCGTCAGGGCTCATAAAATCACAAGGTTGATAGGGAGCTAAAGGTTTTCAGCTTGCTTTGCCTCTCAAAGCAGAATGTTTGTGCCAATGTCCATGACAGCTAAGCACCCAGCCCCAGCCTGACCACCACCAGGAAAAGAGAAAATGCTTCTTGCCAAGACAGCCTTTAATCAACAACTCTAGATCTACACCAAGTCTTCTGAAAACTGCCTCCTTGTAACTTTCCCCCACTGGTCCTGTTTCTGCCCTCTGGAGGCAGACAAAATAACAACAGTCACCTCCCACACGACTTCCTCTCCAATGAATTGGCCATACCTGTCATACGTTCCCTAAAGATTCTCTTTTCCTGGATAAACGTCTCTGACATGCTGACCTCCTCATCTCATCACATGGCTTCCAGATATTTCTCCAACCTTTTCTTCCACCACCTCTGGGGGACTACTTGTTCAACATCTCTGAAAGTTGGGTATCTAGATTCTGGTCATATTTCAGGCATGATCAGAACCAAGCCACAGACTGGTACCCTTTCCTGCTTTAATTTGGACAAAACGTTGTGTCATTACAGTTTAATATTGTGCTAATTTTCTTAGCAGCCTCTTCATCCTAGTAACTCATGCTTCTTCTTCCATGAAAAGTTGTCAAGCTGGGCCTACATTAGGAATGCAATTAATTTCATCTAATTGACTTTAATTAATGTTAATTGGGGCCGGCGCCATGGCTTAGCGGTTAAGTGCGCAGGCTTTGCTGCTGGCGGCCCGGGTTTGGATCCCGGGCGCGCACCGACGCACCGCTTCTCTGGCCATGCTGAGGCCGCGTCCCACGTACAGCAACTAGAAGGATGTGCAGCTATGACATACAACTATCTACTGGGGCTTTGGGGGAAAAATAAATAAATAAAAGTAAAAAAATTAATTAATGTTAATTGGTTAAATATCTAATTTTATTAAATTTTATTTGTCAGTTTCATTCTCACATTCCAGCATACCTAGGACTTTCTGGACACAGAGTCTATCATCAAACAACCTTTCCCAGCTTTGTGACATTGATAAGTATGACAAGCATGCTTTCCATGTTACCAACTAAGTCACTAATAAAAACACGAAACAAGACAAGACCAAGGGCTACCACTAGTAATTTTTCTCTAATTGGAGGTAAATTTGAGGCAAAGTTATTTAAAAGGCTATGACTCTGTCCATCACACTGACTTACCCTGAATCACCCCACCACAGGGAGCAGACTGGGTGTGACTTTCTTCAGAGT